TCTTTTCGGGAACATGTGGCTCTAGTATGACATTATAAGCATATTTGGGAACCTTCCTAGCTTGCACAAGTGTATTGACAAAGGCATCAAAGATTACATCATGATTAAGATCTGATGAGAACAACCAATCAGAAGGAACATTTTTCATAAGAAAATTGTATTTCCTCCTATCCCTAGGATTAATATCGTAATCAAGTATCAATTCTTCAAAAAGTTTGCTACCAGGTTGAGGAGGATTAAGCAAATCAGTTATAAAAATAATACCTTTATCAATCCAACCCTGATACAAAAAATAATTTTTGGATTTTGAGCTAATATTCTTATTAAACCAAATACATTGACAAGATCCAATTGAACAAAAAGCCATATCAAATTCAGCTTTCACAAAGTTTTCTCTAAAAATGTACCACGTTCGAAGGGAATCAGCTAATTGACTCGAGTATAATTTGTTCAAAATTTGGTCCGGGGCATGAGCCTTCCATAAAATGTTCTTTTCTTTATTGAACTTTACTAAAACAGAAAGCTCAATGGATTTCCATAAGCTTATATAATTATCGTCTAGTAGCATCTTCACCCAAGACATTTTCTGAGCAATAGTATATGAATAGGGGTCAATCATTTTTAAACCACATAACGAAAAATCATTACACATGAATTGTCTTTTGACCCTATCATTGCCTCCATTCCATATGAACTTATAAAAAATTGTATTCAATGTTTTAAAAAAAGATTTTGGTATCTTAATACATAACACAGAGAACATATATAAAAGTTGAGGCAACAATACGGTCTTTACGACACAGATCTTCCCAACTAGGGATAAATTTCTAGCGCGCCAACAATTCAGAGCATTTTCAATTGACTTAAGTTTTGTCTTATAATTAAGGTCAAACAAACGGTTGGTATTCAAAGAAAAGTGTATTCCCAATGTCTTAAACTATTCTTTATTCCATTTTAAACCCGTTTCAGATAATGGTTGTTGTAGAGATCCCCACTTGGAGCCAATCCATATAGCCTCTGATTTATTTAAATTAAGTTTACAACCAGAACAACCAGAAAATTTACCAATGGTATCAAATAATGAATTAAGAGAGAGAGGAGACCCATCAATAAAACATGTAGAGTCATCTGCTAGCAGGGAGATTTTCAGATCATTACCTTCTATTGGAATACTTTTAATATTGGTATTTTGACGAACGGCAAGTGCCATAGTTTCAATGACTAATAGAAATAAATATGGGGATATTGGGCACCCTTGAAAAATACCCCTTTCCATATTGAATTGTTTAGTGAGATTTCCATAATTAGTGACATAACTTCTCCTATCCGAATAAAAAGTGTGAATACAGTCAATAAACTTACTACCAAAATTGAATTTTTTTAACACATAAAACAAAAAGCACCAGGAATTTCATTTGATTCAGTGTATTCGATTATATCAATAATCAAGCGGATATTGGTTCTAATATTCCGTCCCTTTAAAAACCCAGACTGGTCAGTGTGAATTAAGTTTGAGAGACACTTTTTAAGGCGGTTGGCAAAGGTTTTTGCTAAAATTTTATAATCAACAGTCAACAAAGATATGGGTCTGAAATTTTTTAAATACAAGTTATTTTTATCTTTTTGGGGGATCAAAGTAATAATACCGTTCCTCTGGGAAAAAGACATTAATCTATGTTGTATTGAAAAATTAAAAGAATCAAATAACATCATTCCAAAAAACAACATAAAATTCCACATGTAGGCCATCAAGACCTGGTGATTTATTGTGTTTCATTGAAGTAATCGTTTCCAGGAGTTCCTGTTTGGAAATAGGAGTTTCTAAAAAGCCTTTATCAGCATCATCCAATTGGGGGATATCAATATGATCCAAAAATGTGTTAATGTCTTTTTGATTGTTGTCTCTATTTTGTTATTTATACACATTTTGGTAAAATACATGGATTTCCTCCAACAACTTTGTTTAATCTACAACAAAATCATCGTTATCATTCTTAATTCTAAAAATACTTTTCTTTTCCCCTATTCTTTTTTCCATATTACAAAAATATCTTGAACTCTTTTCTCCTTCTGCCCAACGAATTCGGGAACGTATAATCAGACCCTGAGTTTCTTGGTCCAAAATTGTGTTCAAACTACTGTTAATTTGTCCCGTTCCACAATAAGTTGATCATTATTATTATCAAAACTCAATTTGAAATTAACTTCTTCTATCTCGTTTATAAGATTGTCTTTACTAGCTTTTCTTTCTATCTTTTTTTTCGGGCACAATATTGTATACAAAAGCCGGTGATTGTACATTTTAAGGAATCCCATAAAGTGTTTGGGTTAAATTGGGTATTAGAATGAATGCGTTTAAAATCTATTGTCTCACGTACTTCAAATAACATGCTACCTGTTCCACTTGGGACCAAATAACAGGGCAAATATTTAAGCTAAATATTGTCCTCGTTTACATTATTTTGTCAGATGAAAGGTAATTACACAAACTGATGATATTATTATGCTCTTGCATTTGCTTTGTAATACCACTTTTGTTCTCAAACTCTATAGCGAACCATAAAGTACAAGAGTGAGTACGGTATACACGACCGCATCTTTTTTTTATGATCATCTTCGTTTATATTCCAATATTATTTTTTATAATCATGTCTGTAAGGACTATCATCGACTAGATGCATTTTTCGTAACAATGATGAAGACGAAGGATGACGGGGGGGGGGGTTACATGCATGTCACCAATTGAATGGCGATAGTACACACACAAAACAGAAAGAGAGCGAGGGAGAGAGCGAGGCACGTGCCCCCCAATTTTTTTTCCAAGATCGGTTTGAACTTTTTTAGACCCCTTTTTTTTTACCTCGATCGATTACATGTATGTGCCCCCCAAACATCAAACTCTGGCTACGTGCCTGATCTACGATAAAGTTCAGATAATAGTTTTTTCCTTTGTTTATCAAATCAGTAATAAACTTTATTCACTATAGAATATTGCTTTGAACTTATATTTCCTTAACAAATGCTGCTCGTGACGTCTAAGATTTTTGCTCGTGGCTTGACCGACATTTTTCATTTCATTTATTTCCAAAATAACAGCAAATAAAATTTACAAATTCATTCCAATTCAAATATTAACATACGAGAAATATACATAACTATGGTACATGCAATACAGTAAAAGTAAACAATAGAGACTAAGAAAATGTTTGCTGGCTATATTACGGTGGAAACTTAGGAAAGCATAGCTTGTAATTTAGGTTCTCTAACATAAAATATCATAGTACAAATCATAAAGTAGAAAATACAAGGAAAAGATGGGGAAAACGGGACGAAACAAAACAAGACAATATAATCATGATAAGACAAGCAAAACAACACAAGCACAAGAAAGGGACACTGAAGTTTGCATTCTGCAGCTATCATGGAATAAAAGCATTGCTCAACATTGGTTGCTATAAACTAAATCCCAAGGGAAAATGTATATGAATAATGGCTTGCATTTGAAGCAAATTAGCATAATGTTGCATTGATTCTTTAAAACTAGCTTTAACTTCAGATTACGTTTAAATGCAAACAGATTTGATGAGACTAATCGAGAAAAAAATTAAAAGATCGGGCCAGTGTAAATTAAGGTTTTCTGTTTACAAAGAGTTCTTAACATTGGAATATGGTAATAAGAAGATTGTCTCGTTGGGTAGTCGAGGAATCTCTCGGGTTTTTTTAACAACAAAGTTAATGCATTAACTCGTCCAGATTCAGTTGATACACAATACAACCCAGACGCAGATTATGTAAATCAAATATTTTTAAAGCAATAATGCAATAAAACAATTGATCTGAACGGACTAATCTGTTCTTATGACAAATTATTCTCATTGCCCTGTTTTGTAGCAACAATCATTTATCCAGTTGATTTATGGAGGAGTTGCCCCATGCTAATATCCCATAATTCAAATATTGAAGGATAAGGGTACTATGCAAATTAAGCAATATATTGGAGGGAAATATCATTTTTAGTTAATTACTCCAACATTTCTAGACTACCTTGATGAAAGGTACATGTACTCTTTCAATGGGTCGCTATACAAATACATTAAAGGTTTTAAACAAGTACTAAAATGACTAGTCATCTGAAACTTTTATTTTTTAAGCATTTTTGGAATCTGATTTGTTAAAGGTAAGTTAAAGGTAACTATGTCCCTTTTGCAGCCAACCTCAAATTCTCTAGAACTTTGCAGGAATTATGAATATGTCATGTATGTCCTATCTGTGAAATTTAAACGTTAGCAGTGTCATAATATTCAAATTATGCAAGGAAACCCGTTTACTTGCTAGACTTCACTGTCAGACACTATTGAGTGACTGACTGACTTTTTTCTTCTTTGGTAATAACATACATAAAAATGAGCTGTAAAGGGTACATGAGCATCTGCCTACATCAATAACCCACTTCTTGTGATGGCCAAAATTAAACTGAGGGAATCTTTGCGCAGCATAGAACGTATGACCATTCTGTACAATGGTCTGAAAATCAAGACTATTACTTATTGGCTCTATAGCTCCTAAGTCGATTTGACAACTAATAGTCGGTATTTTCCAACTTGAAGACATTTTCAAGCCCCACCTTTTTTAGGGAAGTTCTAAATTAGTATTATCTTTCAAATGCCGTTGGAATTTAACCTTTTCATTTTTATAGCCTGCAAATGGGACATAGTACCTTTAAGGGAGGCGCGATAGCCCAGTCGGTAGAGCAGCAGTCTCGTAATCCGGTGACCCGGGTTCGAAACCAAGACGATGCGCTAGTGCCCTTTGGTAAGGCATTAATCCTCACTACCAGGTCCCTTGGAGAGGACCTAAAGCCGTCGGCCGTCTAGTTGCTTACTAACAAGCATTAGGGACTTTTAGATTTGCACGAAGACAATGTGGATTGCTACATGTACGGTCGACGTCCTTTTAATGCACTGCCTTGAATGGACGTCACACGTATTAGTCCACGCAAACCTAAAAGTCCCTATTAATGCTTTCTTAGCAGTCAGGTAAAATAACCTGAGTTACTACCTGCGTGTATTTTAGCCATGATGGGAGAGCATGTCTTCTGCAACTCATTCAACTTGAACGACAGTTCTTCCTTCTTTGCCAAAGGGTTGCTATCCATCCAAGTAATGACGTTATCTACTGTTTTTTTAAAGACTTCCTTGTCGCTGGAGCTAAGCTTGCTCCCTACTGATGCGTCTCTGATTGCGGACTTGACGTTGTAGGCATAGCACTCGAGTTGGTTGCTAGCTGCGATGCGTTCCCGCTGAGCATCATCTTCGGCCTTGAATCTTTCGGCGTCGCTGATCATGCGATCGATTTCGTCTGTAGATATCCTTCCTCTGTCGTTGGTGATGGTGATCTTGTTGCTACGACCCGTGCTCTCATCCTTGGCAGTGACGTCCATAATGCCGTTGGCGTCGATGTCGAAAGAGACCTCGATCTTAGGGACGCCCCGAGGTGCAGGTGGGATACCGGAAAAACGAAACTGGCCAAGTCGATTGTTTTCTTTAGTCATAGCTCTTTCTCCTTCAAACACTTTGATGGTAACGGCAAGCTGGTTGTCCGCATCAGTAGTGAAGGTCTCGGCAGCCTTTGTAGGGATGTTTGTGTTCCTCTCAATGAGCTTTGACATCACACCTCCTTTTACTTCAATGCCAAGAGAGAGAGGGGTCACATCGATTAGAATAACGTCTCTGATTTCTTCGCTTGGGTCATTTGATAGAATGGCAGCTTGGACAGCAGCCCCATAGGCAACAGCTTCATCAGGATTGATAGACTTGTTGAGATCCTTGCCGTTGAGGTATTCCTGGAGAAACTTCTGGATCTTCGGGATCCGTGTTGATCCACCTACAATTACCACGGTGTCAATCTTGTTCTTGTCGATTTTAGCATCGATGATGGCCCTCTCCACTGGCTGCAGACACTTTTTGAAGAGATCTGTACACAGCTCCTCGAATCGTGCTCTGCTGACACTGGTGGAGAAGTCGATACCTTCGTAGAGTGATTCAACTTGGATGTTTGCTGAAGCAGTGCTTGACAGTGATCTCTTTGCTCGCTCTGCTGCTGTTTGGAGGCGACGGAGCGATCTTGGGCTGGACCTCATGTCTTTCCTATGCTTTCGCTTGAACTCCTCAGCGAGATAATCGACTAGTCTATCATCGAAGTCTTCTCCTCCGAGATGAGTGTCACCGGCTGTCGACTTCACTTCGAAGATATCATCATCAATGACCAGGATCGAGACATCGAACGTACCACCACCGAGATCGAAGATGAGGACATGTTGCTCCCCCTTCAGCTTCTTATCGAGTCCGTAGGCGAGGGCGGCAGCGGTGGGCTCGTTGATGATTCTGAGGACGTTGAGGCCAGCGATCACACCTGCGTCCTTCGTCGCCTGTCGCTGTGCATCGTTGAAGTAAGCGGGAACAGTGACGACGGCATCAGTGATTTGCTGGCCAAGATAAGCCTCAGCTGTCTCCTTCATCTTGGTCAAGACCATTGAGCTGATTTCCTCTGGAGCCAATGTCTTCTGTTCTCCCATGTACTCTGCCTGTAGCATTGGCTTGCCTCCTTTATTGATGACGGTGAAAGGCCAGTGCTTCATGTCTGATTGCACGTTGTCATCTGTGAATGACCTCCCAATAAGACGTTTTGCATCAAAGATTGTGTTCTTGGGATTCCTGTAACGATAATAAATAAGAATAGCTTATTGTCACATTGAATTGATAAATAGCTTAATTACACGAGCATAGGCCGCTGTAAGTACATGTACTAATCAGTGTAAGTAGCAGCGCATGTTTTATTATCCAGTCAAATAATAAGTAATTACAGTTATATATTATAAGAAATGCACAGAATTTAGAACCAGTCATGAAATGTTGGTGATAAGAGAGTATCATTACAATTTCAAGCGAATATTGAAATGCAAAATGACGAAAATCTAACATATGTTTGCTCCCTGTTCCATGTTAAACTGAATTGAATTGAATAAGGGAGTTTACAGATAGCACATGGTACAAATGACCCCAAATATCCACAGACCTTTTACACATGGAGAAGTCCCACTTTGAGCATATTAGAATAATAACTGCCAAAGTCCTAGATGTGCTTCATGAATACCTTTTGTTTGCCCTCTTGAAAAGAATACTTCCACCTTAGCGGCGGATCCAGGAATTTCTTACCGGGGGGCGCAAAATCTCATGGGGTGAAATATATGAAAAACGATGGAGCGAGGCGTCAGCGACGAGGGAGCGGAGCGACCAAGCGGGTGTGGGTCTGGGAGGGGTTCAGAACCCCCTCCCTGAGTAGGAAGCATTTGCAATTTTAGAACCACATTAGGAGCATTTTCAGGCACTTCCTGGAGTAATATGACGTAAAATTGCTTTTTCCTACCCCCTCAAAGAGTAGGAATCCAGGGGCGGATGATGGGATCTGGCTTTTTGCTAAGGGGGGGGGGGGGGGGTTGACACAATGACGACACGGAGCATCGTCCACGAGCCGCGAAGCGACGAGGCGATTTTTTTTTTTGTTGCTTTTTTGAACCCCCGTAAGTGATGTTTTCCTGGCATCTATATACTAACACAATGGAGACCATAAAAAAAGCAGTGCATGATAACGTTTTTTTAAATCAAGTAACAGTTTAAGGGGGTTCGACCCAATGACGATGCGGAGCATCGTCCAAGAGCCGCGTAGCGGCGAGGCGATTTTTTTTTTTTTTTTTTTTTTTTGGGGGGGGGGGGATGGCTATTTTGAGCCCCGGTGGGTGATGTTTTCCTGGCATCTACTAACACAATGGAGACCATAAAAAGCAGTGCACGATAACGTCTTTTAAAATCAATTAACAGTTTAAGGGGGGTTTGACCCGATGAAGATGCGGATACTGTGTGGGTCTGCACACATGATGGCGTTTTTCTATTCACATCACATTTTCACTTGGCAGCCCAAGGGGGGGGGGGTTAAACCCCCTAACCCCTCCCCCATCCCCTCACAGATCCGCCACTGGGATCTTTTGCAAACTGGAAGCAATAAGCATTACATGTAGGCGATGTAAAAAAAAGTGCTTGCGAAACGGACAGAAACTTCGCGGCTACAGGGATGACAGAAAATAATATGACAATGAAACCAGCAACCGTGGCAGGATTAATGGCGGGGACAATCTGCATGCTGAAAGAGCACTTAGAATAGGTATATCGGAAAATTAATTCAAGACTAAGTTATAAGTTATAAGTTAGAAGTTATGAAGGAGATAAAATCTTTGGTATTAGTCATGTTCGACTTAAAATTGCATGCCCCCCCTGCCCCTTACCCGGTAAAAAAAAAACACCTTCTTATAATATCATCCCCCTTTCTTTCTTTTCCCTTCTCATTATTCTCCTTTTCCCCCTTTTCTCTCCTCCGTCTTTCCGCCTTTCTTCTTTTTCCGCCTTTTCTCTCCTCTCTCTTTCCCTTTCCCTTCCTTTTTCTCCTCTCCCCTTTTCTTTCCTCCCTCTTTTCTTCTTCTTTCTCTCTTCTCTTTTTTTCTTTTTCCTCTCCTTTTTCTTTCCCCCTCCTTTTTCTCCTTTACTTTTTTTTGGCCGGGGGGGGGACACGTGCCCCCTGTGCCCCTGGATCCGCCACTGCACCTGCGAATCATAGAATGTACCGTTGGTGCATAGATGAATAATGTTACATAACTTTCATGAGCGCATTATCCAGTATTCATCTCGGTGGGTTTACCTTTTTGGTACAAATGACCTTTACCATGCGCAGATTGTATCTGTAAACTCCCTTATTGAATTGAACTTTATTTCATTCATCGTAAAAACATCATAACAAACATATAAAATACAAAACATAGCGTACAAGTTAAAGAGAAACATTTACAATACAATACAACAAATATATATATGAATGTGGAGAGCCAGAGCCAGAGGCTTTATTGGTGCTGCCACCAAAACAGTAATAAAGTATAATGCAGTATTATATTGTTGTTTGAGAAGGTGATTAAAAAATTTTAAATAAAAAATAAAATAAAAAACTCTCCACTGCACACTTTCAAATTACTGCATGGTCACTATTTTGGGGAGATTAAAGATACTACTGTATGTCCCTTTTTGCAGCCAATATCAAATTCTGTAGAACTTTGCAGGAATTATGAATATGTCATGTATGTTATATAGTGAGATTTGAACGTTAGCAGTGTCCTAATATTCAAATTATGGAAGGAAACCTGTTTACTTGTTAGACTTCACTATCAGACTCTATTGAGTGACTGACTGGCTTTTCTTATTCTTTGGTAATATATAACATACATAAAATGAGCTGTAAAGGGTACATGAGCAAAATTAAACTGATTGAATCTTTGCGCAGCATAAAACGTACGACCATTCGGTACAATGGTCTAAAAATCAGACTATTACTTACTGTCTCTGTAGCTCTTAAGTCGATTCGACAACTAATAGCCTTTATTTTCACACTTAAAGACATTTCCAAGCCCCCCCCCCCTTTTTTTTGGGGGGGGGTGGAGTTCTAAATTAGTATTATCTTTCAAATGCCGTTGGAATTTAACCTTTTCATTTTTTGGCCTGAAAATGGGACATAGTACCTGTAACACCTAATAAGATTCCTGTTCATAAAAAGATGTTTTAATTCGTCCACCCGTCATTGAAATTATATATTTTTCAATTATAGTTTCAGATAAACAATTATTGTTTAAACATAGAAAATGATAGGTGCTGCTTTTTAGTATCGGCTTGCATGGTGATGTTGATATACGGGCTTACGGTCGCACCATGTGAGAGAGGGGAAGGATAGGGGAGTCCTGGAAAGGACGGTCGGTCTTTCTTTCTTGAGGGCAGGCGCGGATCCAGGATTTCTTAGGGGGGGGGGGCCAAATTTGAAATTATGCGAGCCAAATATTGGTACGTAATGGTGACCAGCAGCGACGTAATGCAGGGGGATGTAGGGAGGGGCGAGTTTCCCCCCTCCCTCCTCTGCAAAGCGCGGAAGCTATATATGACGTTTCATTAAAGTATTAGAGAAAGAAGACAATTCGTTGTACCGTTCTCGACTCTTAATCCTTCTCTTAATTCAGCCCTCCCCCCTCCGCGCAGCGCGGAAGCTTTGACGTTTCATTTAACTATTATTGAAAGAAGACGATTCGTTATAGCGTTCTCGAAAATTATCCTCGTTTGAATGGAATTTTCCCCTCCCGCGCGAAGCGCGGAAACTTTTACGTTTCATTAAATCATTGACGAAAGAAAACGATTCGTTGTACCGTTCTCGACTCTTAATCCTTGTCTTAATTCAGCCCCCCCCTCCCCCCTCCCCGTCTCGCGCGAAGCGCGGAAGCTTTTACGTTTCATTAAATCATTGGAGAAAGAAAACGATTCGTTGTATCGTTCTCGACTCTTAATCCTTGTCTTAATTCAGCCCCCCTCCGCGAAGCGCGGAAGCTTTGACGTTTCATTAAATTATTAGAGATAAAAGACGATTCGTTGTACCGTTCTCTATACTCTTAATCCTTGTCTTAATTCAGTCCCCCCCCCCCCCTGCGCGAATCGCGCGGACGCTTTGACGGTTCATTAAATTATTAGAGATAGAAGACGATTCGTTGTACCGTTCTCTATACTCTTAATTCTTGTCTGAATTTCAAAGATGTTTTTTGTCTGCTCCTTTTTCTCCCTACGTCCTCTTCGTTTCCTCTCCTCTCTATTTTTTTCTATCCCCCCCCCCCCTGGCTACGCGCCTGCGGTCAGATAAACAAATTTTGATACCTTGTCCGACCCGAGAAGCTCAGGGGTTTTAGGCATTTCATTACGGTCAGATGAACATATTTTTATACCTTATTTGTGACACTGGCAGGACACTAATTGGCGTGAGGTCCAGCGGGCGAAGCCCCCAGAAAACAGGGGTTTTAGGAATTACATTTCCGTCAGATTAGCATCCAGGGGAGTCTAGGGCCCTAGGCGGGGTGCAAGGGACCGAACCCTGGAAGCTCAGGGGATTTTAGGCGTTTAATTTCGGTCAGATGAGCAGCTAGTTAACTATTCTTTCTTTCTTGCTCTCTTTATTTCTATTTCTCTTTACTATACCTTTTCAAAAAAAAAGTGGAGGGGGGGGGGGGCTCGAGGCTTGCGATTCTAGCCGATCCCGGCCCTAACTTTTCTCAAGAATCATATTTCTTGCCTGGCTGTAAATTTAGGAGTTTGTCATTTTCCAACAAACGCATACAAAAGTATAATTTACTAAAAAACTGAGGAAAAATCTCGGAAAGAATTCAGCATTATTTGAAAGCCACCGTTATGGAATTAGAAATAAACCACGTTTGAATTTGAATTCCCCCAAGCCCCCCCCCCCCCACTTTCAGTACGCCAGTGCCCCCTTTTCTTCTTTCTCTTTTTTCTTCTTTCCCTTTCTCTCCTTCTTAAGGTTTGCCGAGGGGGGGGGGGGGGTGGGGGGCAAGGGCCTTTCGGTCCACACCCCGATCCACACGTTGTTGGCGGGATTAACCGGAACTGATCTCCCGTTCTTTTCACCCTTTTCTTTTCTTCTTCCTCTTTTTTGTTCTCTTTTAGCTCTCCTCTTTCACTTTTTCTTCTTTCTCTCTTTGGGGCGGGGGGAGGTAAGGGCCTTTTGCCCCTCCTCGATCCACCGGCGGGAAAATTGCAAATGATATCCCCTTTCTTTTCTTTTCTTCTTT